CCAGTAAGCGCCCCGGGTTGTGCGGAAATTGGCGCTTGCGTTATTATTTAATTTATTTTAAATAAATAAACGGACCAGTTAATGCCCCGGGTTGTGCGGTGATTGGTAACTATTCATTCAACTGTAAAAACAAAAACGTAGTGGTCAAGTTATTAAAATTTTTTCTTTCATTTTTCCAAAAATGACGAGCTCAATATAATTAAATTACTATTTTGTTTAAGTAATAATCAAGTGCCTTTACTTCAATGGGCCAGTGCTGTCAATTATTCTCCACTTTTATGGCAAGTTAAATAATTGAATAATAAATGAACGCATTAATCACAACGACACAGTACGCTCAATTTTTTTTTTTTTTGTTTTTTTTTTGTTACAAGTGATATTATTTGATATACACGAACGCCTTCAACCAAATGACCCAGTGCGCTGAAGTCTTTTTTATTTTTAAAATGATTTATATTTGTTAACCATTAATAGAAAGCTTAGCTGTAATGATACGATAAATCTTTAGCTTTGGAACTTTATGATAGACATATGTAATTTCAAATCTTATCCTATGCGTTGATAGCTCAGATGGCTAACGCACACATCGAGGTCCATTGTTTAGCGGCACCGGGATCGAATCTAACTCGGTGCAAATTATTTTTAAATTTATTAATTTTTTTTTTTTAATACAACATTCCATCAAATGTTTTACAATTTTTTTTTTCATGATTACTAAGGTATTATATTTTACCAGTGACCGAAAATTTTTAAAATTTTTAATATTATGAAATATAATATTTCTTACACTTCGTTAAAAAAAACTACACGACCTCTTGAGATTTACTCAAACTCGCACAACGCGTTTTGAAACGTGCGATGTACCATTTTTAAGCAATGAACAACCAGTTTAATTGATATCACACAATTGATTTTTTCCTTCTAAATGGGTGCTAATAAACCCAATAAATTCATAATGGATTTATATTAAAAATAATTTCTTTGGCAAGTAAGCTTTGGCGATTAGAAACCCAATAGATTATTATTAAATTTATTTATAAAATTTAATTGTTGGCGACTAATCACTGGCGATTAAAAATCCAGTAGTTCATCGGTGAATTTTATAAGAAAAAATTTTCTTAGCCGAGTAAGCATCGGTGATTAGAAACCCAATGATTTACCAGTGGATTTATTAATAATGTCTGCTTTTAGCCGACTAAGCATTGGTTATTCAACACCCAACATTTTTCAATAGATTTATTATTAAAATCATCTTCTAGGCATGGGCATTAGAAACCCAAATTAAATAAAAATAGTAAAAGTTGGTGATTACAAACCCAATAGCTTTCCAGATAATTTATTAATAAAATACTCACTTTGTCAATTAAGCATAGGCGATAAGAAACCCAAAAGTTTATCAGTGGATATAATAATAATAATAAAATAACCTTTTAGGCAAGTAAGCATCAGCGATAATAAACCCAATAGTTTATCAGTGGATATATAGATAAAATAAGGTTTTAGGCGAGTTAGCATCGGCAACTATAAGTCTAACAGCTTTCCAGAATATTTATTAATAAAGTAATCTCTTTAGCGAGTAAGCTTCGGCGATTAGAAAACTAAAAGTTTTTTTAGTGGATTTATAATTAAAATAATTTCTTTGGCAAGTAATCTTCGGCGATTAAAAACCCAACATATTTCAAGTAAATTCATAAACACAATAATATCTTTTGCGATTAAGTATCAGCGATTAAAAACCCAACAGAC